TCACTCACTCAACCACTCACACTCACTCATTCACTCACTCACTCACTCAACCACTCACACTCACTCATTCACTCACTCACTCACTCAACCACTCACACTCACTCATTCACTCACTCACTCACTCAACCACTCACACTCACTCATTCACTCACTCACTCACTCAACCACTCACACTCACTCATTCACTCACTCACTCACTCAACCACTCACACTCACTCATTCACTCACTCACTCACTCAACCACTCACACTCACTCATTCACTCACTCACTCACTCAACCACTCACACTCACTCATTCACTCACTCACTCACTCAACCACTCACACTCACTCATTCACTCACTCACTCACTCAACCACTCACACTCACTCATTCACTCACTCACTCACTCAACCACTCACACTCACTCATTCACTCACTCACTCACTCAACCACTCACACTCACTCATTCACTCACTCACTCACTCAACCACTCACACTCACTCATTCACTCACTCACTCACTCAACCACTCACACTCACTCATTCACTCACTCACTCACTCAACCACTCACACTCACTCATTCACTCACTCACTCACTCAACCACTCACCCAACCACACTCACCCACTCACTCAACCACTCACACTCACCCACTCACACACTCACTCACCCACTCACACTCACTCACCCACTCACTCACTCACTCACTCACACTCACTCACCCACTCACTCAACCACTCAACCACTCACACTCACTCACTCAATCAATCAATCAGCATGTTCTGTTGATATCAGCATACGATTTGAAGGTTAGACAATTTAAGTCACGATTGTAATGCAATCAATAAGTGCATTAAATGTATTCAGATCTGCTGAATGATTATCAGATTTGATTAGTTTATAGTCATAAGAATCAGTCATCATCACATAACATGCTATTTAAAACAATAACTCCAGCAAAAATGTACATTTCTATAAATAACAAAGGAAAAGAGTCTCTTTAAATAGATGGAATGATGTAATGCTTCACAAACCATAAAAGAGTTTTTTAGAAATGCATAAAAAAAGTTTATGCTTGACAAGCCTTAAGAAATATTAAAAAGTACGTTTATGGTTGATGAACCTTCATACAATTAATGCAGTTTTGTTTTAGAAATGTTTTTAAAATATGTTTATGCCAGACAAACCTTAATAGAGTTAATGCATATATATATAATTCTTGACAAACACTTAATAGTTATTTTTATAAGTAATATGTTTATCCTTGACGAACCTTAAAACCATTAATGCAGTTTTTTTTGTTCGAAATATTTTAAAATGTGTTTATATATTGTAGTTAAAAAATAAACGAAACGATAACTGAAATAATATATTTTAATTTTAAGCTGGCAATGGGAATTAGCATATTTTTTGTGTTTTTGGGCCTCAAGCATCCAGTCAAAGCAAAGGCACAATCACCTGTTTAATCAGGTTCTGTCACTGAGGTTTTGAGTTGCTGGTTAACTAACTAGATAACTGGTTAACCCACCCGTGGCTGTACCTGATCGTGGTCGATGTCTGCGTCTCCTGTGATGACGATCCTCTTTTCGACGCGAGTCTCTGAAATACCGTCCTTCACCGTCTGACGAAAAACACAAACAAAAAAATATTCCACCAAAGTAAGAGCTCGAGTTTAAAACGGTAACATCTGAAAGTGAAGAATTTAAGACATCAATATTGGTATTTTAACTTGTAGTGTAAAACAAAAATTAGATTTTTGCAATATTATCACATTCTTTTTTTTTTTTTTTTTTTACAATTCAGTAATGTATTTGTCTTCATTTTCTATAAATTTGAGCTAAAACTAATAACAACAGTAACAATGATAACATTGCAATAACAATAATTATTATTAATTTTGTTTGGGTTCCTAAAATAACAGCGTGAATGTCACGTAAATTGTGATGAATCTGTATCATAACTAAAAAAAGAGAAATGTTTATCATATCGCAGTTCAAATTGCAATATGACGACAAAATCTCAATACTGTATACATTTTTGGCCAATTCGTGCAGCTCTATATATAATGAGTGTATAATGTACATATAAATATCAAAGTTTACCACAGCTTTAATTTGATCTTTAATTAGAATGCGTTCTTTTTAAGTTTATTTTTTCTGAGGATAAAATAATGACTATAATATATTTTTACCACGATTTACTGAAAAAAAAAGAAAAAGAAATCAGTGAAATAATTACACAGAAAAATATTCTGCCACAGTTATTAATTGTCGTTAAATCTTCACTAGGTTTTACTCATTTTTCAGTTTTATTCATTTAAAATATGATAAACATTATAATGATCACTTTTTCTTTTATATATTTTAATAAGTACAGGTCAGAATAAGCATGTTGTTTCATTTCATTTGACATATGACATATTTTTTGTATTTGCACAAAAGTTATTTGAAACATTAAAGTATTGTATTTAATATGTTTTCAGTGTATAAAATCACTTTTATTAAAAACATTTTTTAATTTGATGCGTCACTAAAATGCTTGCGTCTTTGTCGTGTGAGCATTAACTGACTATGCAAATGTTTAGTTAAATTACTGAAATATTAACTTTAAGTAATATTTTACAATTAAGAGCTTCGGTTGACAAATGGAGCAAATAAATTAATATTTATTCAAAACTCAAAACAGAAGGCCGATGACTGGAGCGGTGAGTGTCTCCTCTAGGGCTGCAGCTAACGATTACTTTGATAATCGATTAGGAGGCTGATTATTTTTTCAATTAATCGGATAAAAAGCCTCTTTTTTTTAATTGACAAAACACACTGTTCCACATCCTGCCCAATGCTGTCCTTCAAACAAACGTGCCAACTGAACGCTATAAAAGCATACTGTATGTTGAATATATCTCTGTGCTACACATTACGTGTAAAAGAGCTATAAAGCAGAGTTTAAACGGACAAATGGACAAAGGACAGTTTAACTCAACTCTGTGTTAACAGATGCGAATAATGTTCTGCAGGAACACACACGTTCACTCTGTTCCTGTCATTGCTTTTTATATTCAGTCACACTCTGTTGTTATCCCTTTACAGTTACTATCATAAGATACTTGAATTACATGTTGACTTTTAAACCTAAAATCAAACATTTCAGCTGAATATGTAACGTTTACAGAAGGAAGGAACCATTTCAGCCGAATATGTAACGTTTACAGAAGAAAGGAAACATTTCAGCTGAATATGTAACGTTTACAGAAGGAAGGAACCATTTCTCACACATTAAACAGCGCACTCCGTTTCATCCGCTATTTTTAGATGCATTTAGTCAGTAGAACGCTGTTGTAATGTGACGTGACTGGCGGAAGTTTTCCGTGCGCGGTGAGCAGACACGACTAATCGATAATCACATTCGTTGTGGATTATTTTTTTTATGGATTAGTTGTTGCAGCTCTAGTCTCCACTGACCTTTGTGATGTGTGTGGTGCTGCTGTTGTTCTCTGATGTGATGGTCTGAGCGCTCATGAGGACGCCTGGATCCGAGTCGCCGCTGGCTTCGATCTATAAACACACACAGATGCATTAAAAACATGCCGGCACACTGGAAACGGCATGAGACAGAGTTGAGAGCGCTTCACCTCTGCAGACTCGTACGTGATGGTCTCGGTCCCGGTGTGAACCACAGGAACGTCTTTAAGCGCTTCCTCCGACTGCTGATTCACAAACACAGAAAATCACTGGAAGAGTTCATTTGCCAAAACCGATAACTTTTTTTTATTTTTTTTATTGCGCATTCCAAGTAATATCAATCAAACTGCAGTTGGGTTGTTTTGATTAAGTAATAATAACTTAAACAAAAATAGCATATTTACAAAATTAAAGTTTATTGAAAGTGAACGTATTAAAAAGATGATAATGTAGATGCCTGACAAACGTTGTTGTTGTTGTGATCATAAACTGTATGGATGTGATTACACACAATACACGGAGCTTTTCCCTCTCCATTGTAACGCGCTGCTTTTGCAAGGCTCCGTGAAAACGTTTCAGCTTTTATTTTCCTTTTTCGCCCTGAAGAAGATATCACAGGTTCATCAAGTTCGTCGAAATGATCCTCGATCACTTTTAGTCAGCTTTGACGAACTCCTCTCAGCTAGCACATCTTTTCAGAGTGAAAGTAGCCTTGTCACCTGACCTGAATACAGCGCGCTGATTCGCTAAAATGGACTTATCGGCTTCTGTTCACAAACAACAAGGCGCTTGTCGGCTTCTGCAGTAAAACGTGAACTCACGATGCCTTGAAAGTGGACAAAACCGGCTTTTTTGACAAAACGTGTTTAGGGTTCAGATCGCGCTATATGTGGAGAATAATGCAGGGCAATCAGCTAAAATTTTGTTTTTTAAGTGCCGTTTATCGGTTTTTGCATATGAACTCTTCACTTGAAAACACTCGGGAAGTGCTTGAATAACCTACACCACAGATCATCGCTTTCATGATGGCATATTGATATTTCAGTTCATTATAAAGACAACTACTCGTTTTAAATCATGAGGGATGCTTACAGTAAACACTAAACTCTTTATATTTCAACAAGAAACTGCAGTTGCAACCCATTAGACTTCTGTAATCTGACGCATTTCAGAAAATTCAACAGGAAAAAGACAAAACAGACAGATTTTTTTTTGCATGCAGCATCATGCATTTATATGATGCATGTGAAGTTAAATTAAAAGCTGGGATTTAAAAGGCAATTAATATTCAGTAATATTATGAATTTATCTGCACTGACACTATCAGATGACAACAAAACTTGAATTCTATTGTCTTCTGTAGATCGTTTTAGAGCTGAAATTGACATTTTAACAGTTATTTTCCTGTTTATTAATGTAAATCAGCCCTATAGAACTAAAGGTGACTTGACTTGACAATCGGTTTCTCATTCGACCCTTTGTCGAAGCCAAAATCAGGCTAAACATCCTCAACAAATGGAAATGTCCAGCTGCTCATGAATAAAGTCATCCAGACATGCAGATGTGATGAATAGAGTGTGTTAAGCAACATCTGTGATCATGCAGCGTTCAGATGAAGACGTGTAATTAATCAGTGACTGATCAAACACTTCCAATCGTGAAGCAAGAAGAGAGAGAGCGTTTCCATCATTAGTCAGTGCTGATGTCACACGGTGACCCCAGTGCACACTGGGATTGGTTACCTCCATATGAGGTGCTGTAGAAGCACTATGCTTTATTGCCTGTGCAACTTCCTTCTCCTGGTTTGGTCCAGGATCCAGTTCATGCACGTTTGTTTCCATAAGGTCTGATGTTTGAAACCTTGGCTGCTCGCTCAAATGGGAACATGAGGAAGCTTCTTCATCTTTAACGTTGATCATCATCTCTTGAGGTTGGTCTTCCATCTGGTTCTGTGCAGTTGATGATACAGACTTCATATAAAGTGGAAATTCTCCGTAAGGTTGGACGTTGATGGATTCATCCGCAGGTTCCTCTTGATTGAAGAACAAGAGCTGAGAAAGTTCAAACGAGTCTGAAAACACTTGTTCTTGATCAAAACTCTCAATGTTGTTGTTGTGGAACGACACCAACATTTCATTCTCCAGCTCTTGGGTTTCATAGGTGGTTTCTTCCATTGCAGGCTCCTTGTTTTTATCTTCAAACTCACTAATTTGGTGTTCCTGATCCCAAATTTGGAGCATGTTCTCATCTTGGTTTCCAGCAGGAATCTCTTGGGTTTCTAAGTTGGTTTCTTCTCTTTCAGATGGCGTTTCCAATGCAGGTTCCTTGTTTTCATCCCCAACCAATATTTGGAGCATATCTTCATGGCACATCGCTTTTTGGGTTCCAGTAAGAATCTCTTGGGTTTCTGAGCTGGGTTCTTCCAATGCAGATTCCTTGATTTCATTTACAATCTCAACACTTTGGTGTTTCTGATCCCACATTTGGAGCATGTCTTCATCTTCTTCATGGCACATCACTTTTTGGGTTCCAGCAGAAATCTCTTGGGCTTCTGAGGTGATTTCTTCCATTGCAGTTTCATCTTTAACCTCAATAATTTGGTATTTCTGATCCCAGATTTGGAGCATGTTCTCATCTTGGTTTCCAGCAGGAATCTCTTGGGTTTCTAAGTTGGTTTCTTCTCTTTCAGATGGCGTTTCCAATGCAGTTTCCTTGATTTCATCTTCAACCTCAATAATTTGGCGTTTCTGACCCCAGATTTGGAGAATGTCTTCATCTTCATCATCATCTACATGGCACATAACTTCTTGGGTTCCAGTAAGAATCTCTTGGGTTTTTGAGGTGGTTTCTTCCAAAGCAGATTCCTTGCTTTCATTTTCAGTCTCAATATTTTGGTGTTTCTGATCCAAGACTTGGAGAATGTCTTTATCTTCTTGGTTTCCAGCAGGAATTTCTTGGGTTTCTGAGTTGGTTTCTTCTCCTTTAGATGGACTTTCCATTGAAGTTTCCTTGATTTCATCTTCAACCTCAATATTTTGGTGTTTCTGATCCAAGATTTGGAGCACGTCTTCATCCATGGTGTCTTCTTCATGGCACATCACTTCTTGATTTCCAGTAGGAATCTCTTGGGTTTCATAGGTGGTTTCTTCCAATGCAGGCTCCTTGTTTTTATCTTCAACCTCAATATTTTGGTGTTGCTGATCCCAGATTTGGAGCAGGTCTTCATCTTCTTGGTTTGCAGCAGGAATCTCTTGGGTTTGTGAGCTGGCTTCTTCTTCAGTTGGAGTTTTCTTGATTTCATCTGCAACCTCAATACTTTGGTGTTTCTGATGGCAGATTTGGAGCACGTCTTCATCCATGGCATCTTCTCCGTGGCATATGCCTTTGTGGTTTCCAGCAGGAATCTCTTCAGAGGTTTGTATAGGAAACAGATGATGTTTCACAGCTTCAACACGGCTTCTGCTGCCCAGTGCTTCTTCTTCTCTAACTGAAGCCCATGTGGAGCGTCTCCCCATCGCGATGGTCTCATTCAGGGCCTTCATATACTTCTCTTTTTCACCAGTAGATGGCGCTAATTGTCTCTCCAGCTCCGTCTCACAGCACACCTCCACCTGTGGAGCAACTGAACTCTGGGACAGAAACAGCACACTTCAGTGTCACTGTCACAGAGTCATCACAGAGCAAAACCACCTGCCCGTGTCAACACAACATCAACACTTAAATTACCTTTGTTTACCGGTGTTAAACTTGGTGACTTTTGTCACACTGGCTATGTGAACAAATAAATCATGAACAATTTAAAAAGGCGAAAGGGTCTTAAAAACAAAGTCACACTTGTGTTTCTAGCGGTCAAACATGACTGCCAATAGGAAATGAACGGGAAATACGAAAAATGCACCATTTTTTTATACTAACAAATCAGCAACAAAACTTTACTTTATTTTTATGCATTTTTTTTTTTTCAAATGAGGATGTCCCTAAAAGGAGGTTTTGGGATATTTTGTCAGATTTAAACCACTTCTGGGTACAAATTCATCTCTAAAATATGTTTATATACAT